AGATGTTTTTGTTATTTTTAAAAAAAATAAAATCTTTGATTTGTGTTATTTCAATTGAAATTGAAGGAACACATTGAATAATTTCATTCATTTGTTTACAAAAATTTAAAAAGATTAAATTTATTGAATACATTTGATATCTTTAATTTGTAATGAGCACTTAAGTACAATTCTTTATTTGTGTTTGCATGGAATGATTTGTGTTAAATAATCATAGTACTGATCTTCCAATTTTGTAGTCTATTTAGATATGTGCTTGCTGTACAGGATTATCTCCTTTTGCTGAAGACTACCACAATTACCATTAAGTGTATAAATCTAATATTTGATTTATAAGCTTTGGGCTTGATAGCTAGCTAAATGTATTACTGCAGTCTGATGATGCATGGAAAGATAAATTCACCTTGTATATCAAATGCTATTAGTAAGATGCTTTGATTTGTTGGATCCATATTAATCATGCAACAGTAATTGGGATTCTATTTTTGGATGGATAATTGATTTTGTTACATTGTTGGCATTATGCTTGATGTTTGATCTTGCAGCTTCTTTTTTTTTCTTTAAGATTTATTAGATACAATAATGTAACATGGGGTCTAGAATCTCTGTGTTAAGCAGATACTTCACCTAATGTTTTGAAACTAAGTATCTTAACAAGCTAATCCAATTATATGTAGTTAGTTTGATCATGTGATGTAATAATATGTGATTATAAAGTTGTATTTTAGCCATATATAATGTAAACAGGGGTAAGTATGTGTACATATATATAACTGGATGGTCATGTTTGGAACTTGTACAAATGCCATCTCAACAGTTCATTACGGTAACCTTTACACAATACCATATGCACATTATTATATTGTGTCCATATAATAATAATGAAAGATCATTAGCAATACTTCTTTGTTAATGTGTTGATTTGATACATAGTGTGTAGCTAGAGGTAGTCTGTGAATAATTGTCCACAATTCTCTTAATAGAATCTCTCATTAGAAATGAAAATAATTGTGTGTTTGTGTACATAATTCAGTTAATATGCATACATTTGTAATTTTTAATTTAATTAACTGTCAGAAAATATTCACCAGTTTTAATTTGTAAACTTTTGGGACTTCAAAATAATTCTTTTAACTCTTGGACATGATTTTTTACCATACCATAGAGACCATAAATTATGGACTTGCTTCAGTAGTGCTTCACTGTGTACTTGCAGAACACATGGTAGGTAATTGAATACAAGTCGTATTCAACTACAAAAAGCATAGACCCACATCTACCATCATGTTGTTATTCTGGGGCTTAACACCATTTTTCAGCACATGATAGGCTATACATGGCAGCCAATATTAATGGTGGAGGAAGAAACTAGGAAATCCGCGGAAAGAACCACTGACCCACGAGAAGCTACTGGCATCATGTAATAAGTTGACAGATCTGGGTCTTTGCTGTTTGTTAGACCAAGATCTGCCATCATGTAATGTGCTGACAGATCTGGGTCTATGCTGTTTGTTAGTACTAATCAGTAAAATAACATAGACCAGCCATATTACATATATGCCAAGTTTGCTGAAAACCTGGGAGATTTGTGTTCAAAATCAGGGAGATTGGGTCCAAATCAGGGAGATTAGCATAACGACTATTTTCCCCATAGGTTTAAATGCAAAAGTGCAGATCATACCACAACTAAGTAAATAACAATAATGTATAATAGTTACTTAACTTTATTAATTTTGTTATATGGTTGCACTTCACAAACTCTGGAGATGATATTCCGATTGTGATGTGTCCCCTTTCACTGCCATATTGATCCATGTGAGCAGAAGTAGTTCAGAATATAATTCTCAATGGGGACAAATTATATCAGAAGTTTTTTTTCTCGAATTGACAGAAAGAGCAGATAACATTCCAATTATAATAACTTGATAGTCTGGTTCCCAGACCTCTCTCTACTCTCTCTTTGTTACAAAGAGTAACTGTGTTGAGAGAGGCCAAGAAACCAGACTAATAACTTTATTGATGGATTACGATAGTCATGAACAGTGTATTGAATGCCGATTGAGCTGGAAATACCTATGCTTGGCAGTTTTTTTATTTCCTGGACATCTTGTCAGCAAATCAGTAGATCAAAAGATGAAGTCAAAAATCAAAAGACCCCCGGACAATTCAGGAGACTTGGCATGTATAATATAAGCACATTTTGCAACAGCAGATATGGGTGTGCATTGTTTGTAATTTAATGCATCAAATAACACATTTTTATGGTAGTATTCTGTCACAACATTGTACACATAAATTTGATTTTTTAATTATTCTCGGATTATTCTTCAGTTATATTAATTAGATCTGCACTTATGGACAGGTTGTACACAGCTATGATTGTATGGATCTGTTTAGAGGAGAACATAAAAACCATCCACTATCTCTCTCATAATGTTTATATACTTCTGATTCATTTATTTTATTAGATTTTTTTCTTGACGTTTTATTACAGAATAAAATAGGTATGTGTGGGTGCTTACATTTTTGTAGGTGTACATGGAGTGTCTGTTTTCTTTCAACTTGTGGCTTGAAGCAGCTATGATATTCACAGAAATTTTAGAAAATTTGTAGATGCTTGGAAAAACCATTATGTTAATGCAGAATAAATCGGCAGTGTTTTTGTTATGTATCTAGCTATAATTGTGTTCTCAGTAAACTTAAACACTTATTAAGACAAATTAAATTTGGTTTTACAAGCTGATATTGAAATGTCAGGGCAACATGAATTCTGTCAGGGAATGTTCATGAACCTATTTTATGCATTTTTGGAGTTTGTCTTCATTTTTCATTTCATTGAGTTTGGCTGCATAATAAATAGTGATTTATTTATAAAGCATTTTAAATGTGTTGGGATGGTTTTGTTGAGGGGTTTTGGGTGGGGTTTTTTGTGTCTCACTATGCTATAACACAAATAGCTGTTGTGTATCAGCCAACAGATGCAAAAATGTACTTTGTGCATCAATATAAATATTATCTAAAGATGTATATCATCTGACAAATGCATAGTATAGTCTTTCTCTTTAGAATGTGAACTGCATAATTGTCTTAGAGAGATCACATCTTACTTGCCTTCTCCAAGTTTCTTCATTATTGTATAATACATTAGAGTCAGAATTATATCACTGGCTTGCTTTACATACCCAGGAATGGCTTGAAAACTTTATTTCATAGCACATGGTACACATGCAAGTGTTCACCTCTAAGTTCCGGTTTCAGGCTGGTGGTTGCTACTAGCAACAAAGTGGGTCACATTAACTTATTTCCCATACATTAATGTTTTTATTTATAAGACACATGGTCGACTCTGTTGTAAACTTGTTTTATAGGACAGGAAATAACAATTTAAGAAAAGCCATTGCATAAATGTATTTAATGAATTTCAATATTTATTACCGCCTTAAAACATTCAGCAGGCATACTATTGTTTGATTTTTTTATTTCAGTGAAATAATTGCTACTTGCTTATTTAGAGACCTTTGCCTGAGAATTTTTTAAAAATGTTTTATTGTAAAAAGTTAATTTTGCCTTACTTTTCTCACAGAAACATGTAATATATTAATGGGTTTTTTTGTGCAGTTGTATATGCGGTACATGGTGGTTGTGAATGATAGTATATATGATATGATTATCACATGCTGGAAGAAACTTGTACATTTTATTTGTGTTTTGGACAAAACATAGGTGGCTTTATGTCTGTTAAGTTTGGAAATTTTTCTTTTGCAAGGTACATTTTATTTTGATCTAATTTTGAATATGTTGAATATTATTTCTCTGTCTGTAGTCAATAAATGATAATCATTTTATGAGCAAATCAGTCTACTTATTTTCACAGAACCCCATGATTACTCCAGTGAATATCTTTTTTATATAATCTTGAAATATATATTTGTTTGTCTCTCCTAAGTGAACAGATGGATGAATGAGGATACATTAAGATATTGTATTTTGATTTGCGACCTTGACCTTGGATAGTCTTGATGTGATATGTGAAACATTTTATTGTAGAGATACATAAATGCAACAGGTTTAATTGTTGTTTATATTCCCTGAGTTAACTCTTACCCACTTAGCCGACACACATGGACACCCATGCTTCATTTCAATGCAAACCTTCTTACACTCTCTCTCTCTCTACTGTATTTCAGTTACATGTATTTGGACACCCCATAATATCTCATTTCAGTGCATCTACAGCATTTCTTCTTGGAATATGTTCCCCAATTACATAACGTTAGGAATATTAGCTTGCTACCTCGCGAGTCCATTCATTCTAACAGATAATAATCATTTCTTTACCCCATTTTCAAGACAAAGGACAATAACTCTTGCCCATTACCTCCCCTTGACAACCCCTGGTTTCACTAGTTTTTAGCTTCACTACTGTAATAATCACATATACATGTAGTTTATCTTGAGATAATCCAAGCCATTTTTGTGTTGCATTTGAATCATCCAATGTTCCTTTTGGATATATTACATGGAATAATCATTCTGCTGCAGGTTGTATACTTTCAATTTTGTCATTTTTAGGGATCTTAGGTTTCTTAGGTCTCTCAGTTTGTAAGAGATTGTTTTAGGTAGTTATTTACATGATGCATTGCATATTTATTCTTTCTTTCTTCCTTGTATGGTTTAAGCAGAACAGTTAACACTTGAAATGAACAAGTTCAAAGTAAGGTCTATAAGTTTCAAATGCGAAACTTTTTTTATTCTTTCATTGGTAATGGGGAATATGTGTGAATTAGATTTAACAATTTTTTAGTCATATCGCTATAATGTCTGCAGTGTGGCAGTTTATAGTGATATTTAGCACTGGGGCATCATGCTGCAGACATGTAGCATGATGTCCCACCCAGTCACATTATCCTGACACCAGGCCGACCAGTCCTAATACTAACCTCTTAATGCTGAGCACCAAGTGAGACAGCTGTTAGTACCATTTGTGTAAGTCTTTGGTATGACTTGACCGGGGATCAAACCCATGACCTCATGCATCTGAGGTGGGCGCTCTAACCATTAGGCCACCCGAGCGGTTAGTTAATGGGGAATATATTAGTGAGTTAGTGTCATTTCAGCCAAAATGTCATGTAAAAGCTATATATGCACCTTCAAAGCATGAAAGTCTACCTTGACTCTTGTTTTATTCATTCGAAGTATATACCATCTGTAATGTGGTCAAAGGAAGTTTGGGCTACTGTATTAGCTAGTTATTCACATACTGATTTGCTAATCTCTCCATTATTTTCTCTTCTTGATAGTGGTTAGAACGTCCACCTCAGAGGTCTTTGGTTCGGAACCCTGGCTGAGTCACACCAAAGACTTATAAAAATGGTAGTAACAGCTGCCTTATTTGGTGCTCAGCATTAAGAAGGTAGTGTTAGGATTATTCAGTCTGATGTCACAATAATGAGACTGGGTGGGTGATGATGCTACATCTCTGCTGCATAATTTCCAAGTGCTAGACATCGCTATAAACTGCCACACTGTAGACTTGTACTATTATGATCGAAACAGTGTTAATGCTACATTAAAACTCCAAATCACACACACACTTCTCTTCTTTAGTCATTTCAGAAGAAATGTTTACTAAATGCATGAAATGCATATTCAAAGCAATAGTCCATTTGGCATTGAAGGGAAGGAAAGATGGAATAAGACAAGGAAGACAACTTATTGAATATTTCCCAATTTTAGACAGCCCAGTGGGCTTAAGTACCCCTGCATGTCCAAGGCCTTAAAGGCTATAAGCTAAGGGCACATGAGGTTTATACTGGATCAGTTGGATCCACTACTTTATACCACTGCATCATTACTGGCCATTCAGCCATTGTTAACTAAACAAATATCACTGAACGTCCAGCATGGGAGATTGAGAAGATGGCAAGCCAACAATTTTGTTGCTTACATTTCTGATTCATTGGTGGAGTGTTTCCAAAATTTAGGCAGTCCAGTTGGCATAAGAACTCCCACATGTCTGAGCATGGTCTCTGGGCCTACAAGTCTGGATGCATTGGATCCAAAGTATCATAAAACTACAATCGCTGGATGTCCAGCCATTAGGCTCTTCAAGCATGGGGACCTTTTCATTTTAGCTATGATTTACAGTGACAGATCCATCCATCTGACCCTACCATTGATGACATGCCTATGTCAGAGATTTCAGTGAGACATCTATCTGTCTAGCAAGGCCCTTGATGTGGCCGGTACTGGTGATAGCTGGGCTGTCTTCTATACCACCAGCTTCTAGGTCAAACATTTGCTGGCAAACCAATTGGCAGTGTTAGACTTGTGTATATTCAATATTTCTCCATAAGGAAAAGCTAGCAACTTTTTTTTCATAGGGATGGAGCAGTCTTCATACCACCTGGTATGTTTTCTCCAGAGTTGCAAGTAGACCCTGATTGGGTCTTGACACAAAACTCAGATCCACCACTGTTCACATTATACTCAGATCTGACGAAGGAACAGAATGAAGTTTAGCTTCAAGCCACTGATGAAGACATTTATAGTGTGTTGGATACTTCAGATTGCTTTCCACCTACTTTTGCTATGCTAAAGAGTTGATAGATCTCAGCAAGGAAATACCAACCTTCTGATTCCTTCCCCAATCCGACAGATGCAGTCAATACTGATCTCCCAGCACTAGACTTTAATATAGCAGCTGCTTATATGTCCATTTGTCTGTTTTATAATGAAACTATTTATGGTGGGCTGTCTTATAAGCACAACAAAAAAATGGAAACTCCAGATTTTGCAGCACATATCAAATATTTTCAATTCACGCCACTATTATCATAAACAATTGCATATATGGTTTGCATCATTTCATTAAGGTATTCATTCAACAATACTTGTCTTCACATTTAGATTTTAATCATTTGAAAATATTAAATGAAATATTTAACTACTCACCAAAATGGGAAAGAGTCATCAATGTTGCTTACTGTGGGCATCTACACAAGTATCTTGCTTTCATTTTCATGCAAATGTCTTAACAACTCATATTTGTGTTATATTTTGTGTTGCTGTATAAAAAAAACTTCTGCTTGATGCAATAAAAATTTGCTGATTTGTATTTCCATGTTTCATAACTTAAAGTCCTAACTTATATTTTCAAATTTATTTACCCAGTGCATGTAGGAGGATAAGTCCTTACCTTAAAAAGGCAACATCCACTTTGTTTTCCCAACTACTTTGATAGACATGAATGTGACACATGTTCAGTACCCAAATATAGCCCTGTAGATTCTTTGAGCAATTTAACACCTTCTGTATATCTGAACCTATTCCCTAAGCTTTTAAAGGCAGCACCTGTTTTGTTTAAGTTGACAATCCTTTGATCAAGCAATCATTTTGACACTTTTTCAGTGCCAAGTAAAGTCCTATACAGAGTTAACTGGGGTTACTTATTTTAACTCTCTTTGATCATACCAGACATTTGATGCTGGTTCAGTTAGGCAATCCTTTAATAAGATTTCACTGACTGTATGATCCGAGTCCAAGACCATTCTCCACATAAATAATGGACCAGTTTTCCGAATCATCAGTGTTCTGTCATTTACTGGGTACCTTGTCACTTGGATAATGTTTCAGTGAATCTCTAAACTTCTGTAGTTTCACCAATGGTGGGAAAACAAAATGTACTGCTCATCATGAAGCAAATTTGTTAAACTTTATGGAATTTGTAGAGGAACATAACTGTTCCAGTAATATGAATTAAGTTTATTTTTCTAAAGTGCAACTATGATTCACAGACAGTAAAGCATCAGTCATTTCAGTTTGTGAATTTCAGGAGAACAACTGTTCATTCAACAGCCTAACACAACTTACTCATGTTGTAATTTCCACTTACACAAACTATGTTCCCCAGATGCATCACTTCTACATACAGACCAAGGAAATGTAATATCAACTTTATCCACGATAAACTGAAACCTCCAAATCTGACCTTTAAAGCTTCATACCAAATTTGGTTACAATCCTCAGAATCTTTAAAAAAATAATGACCTGAAATAGAACATGCAAAGTTCTAAGTCAACTAGGGGCCATAACACATAATAAAATGTGCTATAAAAAAACTATGAAAACTGAATATGAGTAGCTTTTATAAATGAAACCTCATACCGAAATTCGGTTTCAACACTTAAAATCCTTCAAAAGTTGCCAGGTGGAAACCAAAGATCAAAACTTCCAAGACAAACAAGGACTATAACTCCACCACACTTCCTTTTCCAGGAAAGGAAACAAACTTGACCCTAGGTCTCCTGGATGAAAAGTCTAAAAGAAAATTTAGCTTCAACCCATGCAGCCTTTCAAAAGTTAAAGAGCATAAACAAAATCTGCAATTGACATAATATGAAGTGATGGTTGGATACTGGTATCACTATAGATATTGCAGCAGCATACAAAATTAGGATAATGTGATGATAGAATGCAATGTGTTAGACATGGCCATCACCATATGCCATATCACAAATATGGCAAGGGCATACCAAGTGAGAGCATGATGTGAGGCAATGTGACAGACATGGGCAACACTAAAACCAAATTATAGAAATGGCAGGGGCATACCAAGTGAGAACATGATGTGGGGTTATGTGACAGACATGGACAACACTAAAACCAAATTATAGATATGGCAGGGTCATACCAAGTGAGGACTTGATGTGATGCAATGAGATAAGATAGAAATAGCCAACACTATATGCCATCTCAGATACAGCAGAGGCATACTAAGTGTAGGCCACCTGTTTTAAAAGATAAAATAAGCATGTTTCATATAATTACAATTCTACTTTACTTGCTTGAATATATGCATTTTCATATACAAATCTAATTATTTACTTGTCATGTGCATTAATTTACACACTTATGTTTTGTGGCATGACAAGAAAACTTGCACCTTTTGTAATTGATTTATTAAACACAAGCTTCTGCCAACATGAATTTTGTAACTTCAACATACTATCATTGATTGCAAATCACAAAAAAACATTTACAATTATATTAATTCGTTAAATAAAAGCTCTTCAATCAAAACAATTATGTCTCACTAGTTATACCATAAGATTTAATATGCATTTTGAAACTAAAACTTGAATGTGAACCTTTGGTTTGAAAAACACAATGGAAGCATAAAATGTTACAAAACTTTAAAAATGAAGATAATTCTGCTGTAAGTATAAAAGTAAAAACAAATGCGTAAAAGTTATAGCACAAAAATAGTATAACAAGTTTTGCTAATCTGAACTGGGAAATCATTGTAAATTTATAAATTTAAACAAAAAAACTAAGGAATGGTGACAAAGAAAATTTTCATCAACATGTTATTTGTTTCGATGTTATTTGTTTGGAATGCTCTTATTATCTTTTAACCAACTAATTATTTCAATGTCTAGGTTTCATTACATCTCTAACTTTTCTTCCTTAAAATGTGATGTAAAATAACTTTCTTGTTTCATCTGCTGTGGTCAAGTTTGCATCAAAACCTTATGTAAATTCTAACAAACTCAGTAATTACCAAGGATGTCCTTTTTATACTTGGAGGAAGTTGATAATTTCCTCAAATCTGAAAAGTATTTCAACTCATTTCTAAAGTAGATACAGTTTGGATTAGCTTTAGGCTATCCTCATTAATATATATAAACAATCTCAAATGGATAATTAGTTATTATTGAATTTATTAAATAAAATGAATAAGTCCAGCTCTTGCAAACCTTGGCGAGCAAAAGCTGGACATTATTTTAACAAGTTTTATAAATTATTATTATAAACAATTATTATTATAAACTATATATTGCCATTTTTAAAATACATAAGAGTCAATCTGACGCTCAGAGAGGTTTGTGCAGGACAGGTTCTACATTTGTTGACAGATATGATCTGAAATCACCAAACACCTACTTGCTAAACATGTAAAGCATGACCAGACATGTTTGAATGTGATTAGTACTAGTGATGAAACATGAATTAACTTTTCTGACGCCAACTCAAGAGAAAATAATGCTTCTGAGTTGGAGAAAACAAGCAGA